TTTTTTCAGTTTTGTTAATATTTGTTTTAAGTATTTTGCAGTTCTTTCATTTGGTGCATATGTATTAAATGTTTTATACATCTTCCTCCTTTCTCAAGCCTGGTAATTATACAAGATTGATTCTGTGTGTAAACTTTTCCTTAACTTTGTTATATCATTACTCTTTCACCATAATTGTCCTTTTGTGACTGACTTATGTCACTCAGCATAATTTTTTCTACTTTTATCAATGTTGTGTAGCATTTCATAGATTCTTGATAGTTTTCCAATGGTAAGCAATACTTATATTGTGTGAGTGTAGCACAATTTTTTTAACCAATCATCTGTTGATGGACACTAAGGTTGTTTCTCTCTTTGCTGTTGTAAGTAATGCCACAATAACCATGAGTGTGAATATGTCAATATGTGTTGCAACTCATTTCTTTGGGATATATACCTAGTAATATTTCTATTCTCAACTTTCTTCTTTAGAGAAGTACCTATTTGTGTCCTCTGTTCAATCTATAATTTAATTTTGTCTTTTTCTCATTGAGATGTTGGAAGGCTGGAGGGTTGGCAAGGGACAGGAAGACCCTCAAACAGGTGTGTTGGTACAGTGACTGCCTCCATCGGCTCCCGTGTGTCAAGAAGTGTGAAAAACGCACACAGAATAGGACAGAGTTCAGAACCACTGTTCATAGGGTCACTATGAATCATACTCCACTCAAGACCACCTAATAACAACAACAATCACCATTGATCTTTGTCTACTTATTACCCCATCTTTTCAGGTCCCCAGTGGATCGTTCTTAATTTCTTCCCTCCCCAGCAACTCTGTCATCCTAGTAATGTCTCACCTTACCCCTGCTCCACCTCCTGCCCCCTTCGCCTTCCCATTTTGGATTTTTTACACATCTTAATACTTATACTTCTAATTTTGTAGTAACAGTCTTGTGGAGTACTTGTTCTTATGAGATTGAGTTAGTTCACTCAGAACAATGCTTTTCCAGCCGCTCCCATGTTATATACTATTTTTTTGAAATAGTTACTCCTCAATGCTGTATAATATTCCATTTTGGAATATACCACAATTGCTCAAACATTCATTTGTTTTGTTTTAATTTCTTTTTATTTTATGTTTATTTGCATGCAAAATTCATATACATTGTTTTCCATTCATATATATTGCATTTCACACATTCTTTCATTCACATTGATTTTCATATGATCATCCCTATACTTTGTGTCATATAAAATTAATCATCATTGATCTACACCTGCTATTCCTCTGTCCTTTCTGATTCCCACTCTATCTTTCCTAATTCCTTCACCCCTTCCCTCCACCTACCAAACCCTGAGACCCCATGATTTCCCCTTCTCCCTACCCTGGGCTCCCAAAACCCCTTCCCTTCCCTCTTTGGATATTTATACACATCCTACTGTTACTCTTCTATTTTTACAATAATGGTCTTATGCACTATTTGTTCTTATGAGACTGAGTCAGACCATGCAGCATAATGCTGTCTAGTTGCTCCCATTTATACAATATTTTTTCAAATCACTGGTCCTAAGTTCTGCATGGTGTTCCATCATGTGAACGTACCACAATTTCTCAATCCATTTATTTAATGATGGGTATTTGGGCTGTTTCTATGTTCTTGCTATTGTGAATAACACTGCTATGAAGATCAGTTACAAATCTCCACTTGTGTCTCTGTTATATTTTCTTCGGGGTATATTCTTAGTGCTGTAATATATGGGTCATATGGAATGTCTATGTTCAGCTTTTTTAAGGACTTGTCAAATTGTCTTCCAGAGTAGTTATACCATTTTACCCTACCAACAACAGTGTATGAGAGTTCCAATCTCTCTCCATCCTCTCCAACATTTATTGCATGCTGTCCTACTGTCCTACTAAACTTTGCCACTGCTGCTGGAGTGAGATGATAACTCATTGTGGTTTTGATTTGCACTTCTCTTGTTGCAAGTGATTTTGAACATTTCTTGACATGTATGTTGGCCATCTAATTATTGTCTTCTGTGAAAAGTTTTTCTATGTCTTATGCCCATTTTGTAATTGGATTATCATTCTTTTTCTTGTGGAGGCCCTGTAGTAGTCTGTAAACTTTTTTTTTATGAGACCTTGGTCTGAGATGTTATTACCAGATGTTTTTCCAAGTCAATATATTTTTCTTTTCACCCTATTGGAGAAAGCTTTTTGTGCACACAGAGACTTAATTTTTATTAGGTCCCATTTATCAATGTGATCCTCTCTGGTTGTGCATTTCCCAAAATATTTGCCAGCCTATTTACAGGGAGCACTGGTGGCCTAGTGGCAAGAAGGTGTGTTGAATTCCCAGAGGCATGCAGTTCTAATCCACCAGCTGCATGGTAGGAGAAGGATGGACAATCTTCTCTCCTGCAATTAACTGCCTATGAAAATCCACCAGAGGTTCCAACAACAACATTTATACCATAGGCCAGGCCTTCTAAGTTTGGTCCCATTTTGACTCTTATAATCTGTATGGTTGGAGGCTTTACTCCTAAGTCTCTGATCTACCTTAAGCTGATTTTTGTGTATAGTATGAAATGTTGATCCTACTTCAGCTTTCTGCAGGTAGAAGTCCAGTTTTGCCAGCACAATGACAAAGAAACAGGCCAGTATACTTTCCACAGCCTGATAAGAGTTTTTTCTCTCATTAGTTCATGAGTCCCTCACCCACTTCTTTACTGGCTGATTCTACAGGGTAAGCATTCTTTCCTAGACAGTGCCTAAATATTATCTCTTCTTTTACTGTCCTTTTTTCCTCTTCCCCCTTTTCCTTTGGCACACATTCTAGGGCCCCTTGGCTTGCTATCTCAGCTAATAGTTTGTGTTTTCTTTGGATTAACTCATGATTCTTTACCCCAGTTTTTATTCTCTCTACTCTGAAGATGAACCACTCTAAAGTCTATCCCTTATGCTTAAGATGTGTATATCAAGAGCTGTATTTGAATAGACAATAAGAATGAGTGGGGTGGAATTAGCATGAAATCTTCTCCTCAACTCTAACTTCTGGTATCCTGGAAAGAGGGCTGTACTAATAATGTTCTTGGATATTTAAGACTTGAAATTCCAAATCCAGAATCTCTGAACTAAAATTCACCAGAAGAGTAGGTAGCTGTGCTGTTGTAAGGCACCGTCCAGTCCACTAGAACTCAGAGGAACTCTATGAACAATAGAACAAACCTTGATCTATGTTGTATCATCCTCACAATCTCTGTCCTCCTCAAGCCTATTGTTGCAATCACTGTGTCAACCATCTACCGCATAGAAGATTTTCCTTTCTTTCACAGACCCTCTACTTCTCCAAGCATATCAATTGGTAGTCTTTTAAAATAACCCTCAGAGTTTAGGTCAAATTGTAAAAATAATTCAAGGAAACCCAGAATTAGTGCAATTTATTATCCTCTCATTCTTGCATGTTAACATTCCAGGTTTTATAACTCCTTGTGTCTGGGAATGAGAGTTGGTTGTGCTCCCACACCACAGACTTCTCATCTATAGAACAGGAGCACAGCTGCCTCCGTTATCTCCCGGCTGGAGCTGTAGCCTATGTGGGTTCCAAATCCATTCCAATCAAAGGCTGAGAAATCCCCACACTGCAACGGATTGCCCTCTGGGAAGTATCCTCCTCCTCCAATACAGTGCTGGGAAACAAGACAAGGAAGAGATATAATTAAATGAAACCAACAAACTCTTCATGATCACATCTCCTGGCTCTTGGATTCCCTTCCTATTTGGTTTTGCCACATCCTTCTCTGATGTTGTCCCATCGCTCTCCTAAGAGTCTCCTTTTCAATGAATTATAAACTCCCTCTCCTGGCTTATTTCTACCTTATTTAGCACTCACCCTTTGCTAGCCTTTCCTCCTCTGCCCATCCTTTGAAAGTTATTCTTTAATGCCCACCCACGCCTCTTTCTCTCTGTTACGGCTCATTTTCTCTCATTACTTTACCTATTAACAGAATAGTGATGACTTCCAAATTTCTGCTTCTAGCTTAGATTTTCTTAAACTGAGTCCTCCATATTTTACATCTCCCTGCATGTCTCCCCCTATGTCTCAAATGTAACTTAAATTCCACCTAAGCAAAACAAAATGATCTCTTAATGACCTCATATGCCTCTTCCTCATCTTGTCCCACTATCTTAATTGAGTTCCTTGATAGCATCCAGTCATTCCAAAGTAACTATCAATGAAACATCAGTAAATTAGACTTCCTAAACATAAAGCATATCCAAAAGACTTCATTAACAGACTAAAAAGACCAGACATAAAAGCCATATCAACATACCCTACCCAGACGTGTATGCATGTGGGTGCGCCCACAGGCCCTTGCTCTCCCTAAAGACTCACAAACTCAGTGTTGCAGCCAGTAACTCTCATTCCAGCACACAGGGCATTAGCGGCTCTCTCATTATTAAACACCCTGAACTGGACAAATCCTGCAACAAATTCACCTAGAAAAGAAGAGACAGAGAAAGGACTATTGTTTACAAAGGAGGAGCTAGAAACCATTTTCTTTTGACAAGCCCAGGAATTCTAAAACTCAGGATACAATCCTGCACTATGGGGTGGAGCGCAGCTCATCTGTGGCCAGAACCTGGTGGACATGGCTAGGTAGGAGGCTCTACCCATCTCCAGAGGGTGAAGATAATCCTTGTCATGTTAAGTCTTCAAGGGATAAAATAAGCTCTGCAAACAGTTTATCCAAAATACCTCCAGAAGTATAGCAAGACTATCAAAAAAATTAGAACTGAGACAAAAAATGAGATTTGTACACCAATATTCATAGCAGTTTGTCACCATTGCAAAAACATGGAAACACCCAAATGTTCAACCGCAATCTAATGGATTGAGAAATTATGGTACATTCACAATATGGAATACTACACAGCACACAGGAGCAATGATTTTGAAAACTACTACCTAACTTGAGAGGGACTGGAGAGCATTATGCTAAGTAAACTAACTCAGTCCCATAAGGACAAATATGTTATAAGATTGTTGTATAAATAGAAAGATAACTAGTAAAACGTGTATGAAGATCCAAGGTGGGGAGGGTAGGAGCAGAGGAGTGAGGATTGGCTGGGAGGGTAATTATAGGGTTGTACAATTTGATGGGTAATGGGAAAGCTAAAGGAAATGGGGAAGAACCAGTCTAAAATAAATGTATATGAATTTTATAAGCAAACCAGTATAAAATAAAAATTCTATTTAAGAGATAAAAAGAAAAAAATACAGCAAGAATAAATAAAAACCAAATATGTCCATATGTTTTGTTTATACATGTCTCATCCACTAAAATCCGTATAATCAATTGCTATTGAAATAGCAACTTCTGTGACTGGCTTCACTGAGCAATTTATTTTTTTCAAAAATAGCTATCTCTCCAAATGAATATTTTTCCTCATCACTTTGCTATTTGTTTTCCTGTGTACATTAGCCTACACCCCCTTTTTAACTACTATAGGAAGTTATACATAATGGTTAATAGCATAAACTGAGGTCAGTGCTAGAGTTTATATCTTAGCTTTGTTTCTTACACCCCATACTGTCCTTAGCAAGTTCCTAATTTCTCAGTGTTCAATCTCCCAAACTGTATAAAGGGTATGATATAATTTTAACATCCTAAATTTCTATGGTTAAAAGATTTTTTTAAAAAAAAGACAAGTTGCTAAGAAATAAGTTGGCTTATTTTAAAGTTACAGAGAACAATTGATGACTAGGATTAGGGAGCAAATACTCACCCTGACCGTATGGTGAGTAATAAGATGCTGTTTTCTGAGGATCACCAAAGTCATAGGCCACAGGAACTGCAGGGCCATTGTCAGTCCAACATTTCCCTATTCCATATTTCACTGGGTATTTCTGCAAAGACCCAGATGGGAGGTAATATGAGAAGAGCAGAAATGCTGCCATATTAGATATGAAGGTGAGGTGGCTTTCTTCAAGGTAGCTGTCATTATTCAGCAACTGGTCTTAACAAGGTGTCTCTTTTTCCCTAGGTAGTGTTTTTGAGCAACAGCTAGGCCCTTGTTGTCCCATTCTCTCCCCTATTCTCCTCCTTCATAGGACTGGCTAAGACTTCCTCAAAAAAGAGGTGGGACACCAGCTAACAATGAACCAGAGACAGGAGAAACAGATAATGATGCTGAACAGCAGAAAACGGATTCACTCCACAACCAAAACACTTCTCACCAAACCATCATCCCCGACCCAGAAGCCTATGTACCTGGTAGAGGCCAAATAGGTTGTGGCCCAGACTGGAGAAGAAGCTACTGTATGTGTGGTACCTCAGGAGGGAGCTGTTCCTCCATTCATGCAGTGGGGTCTTGTTGGGCACATGCCAGATGCCCAGGTCCCGTGCCTGGATGTCATAGTAACCAGGGTTCTGGAGAACAACAGACATTGACCAACCAGGAGGTCACAGGAAACAAGAAACTCAGCACACGTGAAGTCTCCAGATGCTCTGAGAGCACAGGGATCCACTACCACATAATAGCAGTGCTCAGACACCTGCTTCCAGCACGTGGAAATACCCCTCCACCACCCCCCAAATCTAAAAGGCTGTTTGGAAGAAATTAGGATTGAAGATTTTTTTTCTTTCTTTCTTTCTCTCCAGCCCAAGCTTCACATCCCAATCTCCCAGTCTTCCCTTCTACTTGCGGTACCACAGCAAAGCCTGTCCTGTCATTATTTCCCAAAGGAGTGGTGAGTGGCACAAACCTTGTAGTCGTCGCTCGTGGCTCCCTCTGCAGAACCAAAGGTGTTGTAATTGGCCCAGTTGCCCTCCCCTTCTGGGTAGTCTGCTCTGTTGCCCTGCTGACTGGACCAGCGATCTCCCACTGTGCACTTCCCTTGTACACTGTTCTCATGCACACTGGCCACCAGGGTCCAACCACCACCCCCCGAGGTCATGTCACAGAAGGTCTGGTAGACGACACCATTCTCCGTGCGCAGGTAATACAGGCCATCTGTGGAGAGACCACCAAAACTTTCCTGTCTGAGAGCACATGACCCATCTCAGACCCCATAATCAAAAAAACTGGGAAACAAAGAGTGTGTCCTTTTGGAAGATCAGTCTCTTTGGGTTTCCATCATTTCTGTTCATCTAAGAGAAGAGGTACTGACTGCCTTTGTTCAACATAGTCTTGTAGATTCTATTTACTAAACATCCTTAGAAGGTAAAGATCGTGTCTCCCTCTGAATAATAGAGCGTTCTGTCCAGGAGAGGATAGAAATCACCAACCACCCACATCTCTAGTCTCCATTGTGTAGCTGGAAACTTCTCTACACTCAGAGCAGAGGACAGATAGATACAGTTATTGCTCTTTCTAACAGAGTCAGAGCTCAGAGTTTCTTGCCTCAACCACAGACCTGCAAAAAGCCTGCACTGTACACACTTGTAACCTACCTTGCTTGTGTGCATAGACCAATAGTCAAGATTTAGCTACAGTTGACCTAAACTTTCACAAAATGCCTGTGATCCTCCCTAATGTGGGGGGTACAGGAATCTTACGGTGAGCTGATCCAAGGTGATTTATCATCCACTACCCTGTCTTCCAGTGCAGCTGTCATTAGACAGGTCCTCATCACCTCTCAGGTTCAGATGAGTCCCGAGCTAAGACTCCAATTTAGGGTACAATTGTACCCTCTAAAACTGCCTGGCTTTGTTTTGTTGCTAAGGCAACAAAAACCATCCAACGCCTCTTTTGTTGCATTTTCATTTGTCCTATTTGTTTCTGGTCTTCCTGTGAGAAAAAAAAAATGAGAAGCTGATATTTTACTGGGTCTCGACTTTGCTGTCTTTTTAAGTAATAAAATGCTTGTATTTTTAAAATATTTTTGTTTCCAGGCTGGCCAAACATATCACTCTACTTAAAAGCTCTATTACCTATACAGACGCATCTGGCCTTCTTTTCCCTGTGCAGTAAAAAGTGGGACTCGGAATTCCAGGATAGGAAATGCTGGTCTCAATTTTCTGTCAGCATGCATAAAATTGTTACAGGCTAACTAACTGTTCTTTGACAAGTAGAATAACATCTCAGACCCTTTACAGTTCTTAATAACACCCTCCCCACTGCCAGGAACGCTGCATTCTCCTTGGTTGAAAAGATCACATCCAATGTGACTGAGGTAGGACATGAAAGCCTCAGAATCTCCATTGAAATTAGCAGCCACAGTCAGATAGACAGTAGTTCTGGCTATGTACCTCCAGATTTCCATGACTGGCTTCTATTTAGCTGAAAAGTGGTTTCCAGGGGAGAATGCTGAGATTGTTTTTTTACTCACCAGTTGCTGCATGGCAACTGTCTTTGATTTCTTTGCAGCTTCTAGGCATTGAATGGAGGGAAGAATCACAGACATTTTCCTTCAGGAACATCTTAGGATGGGTCACTGCTGCTAGAGGGTGGAATAATATTTCTCATTAATAGTCTGTAGCTGCTGACAACATCTTTCTTCTTCACCAGATCCTGCCCACTGCAGCACTCCCTCACCGCTTAGAATGTCAGACCTCAAGAAGCCAAGAATTCTCTCAGCTAACCCAATATATAGGATAGGCTTCCCACCTAAATTTTCAGCTAATTTTAATTAAGTATCTATTATGTGCACCACAGGTGATGCAATGGATAAAACTAGGCATGCTAACCAAATGGATTGAACCTAGACATGATAACCAAATGATTAAACCTAGGATGTCAACCAAAAGGCTGTGGCTTGCATCTGTCAGTGAGTCCAAAGGAAAAGAATGAGGAGTCTGCTTCCTTAAATATTTACAGACTGGGGAAGCCTAAAGTGTATTTCTACTGTCTTATAGGTTCACTATGAGTTAGAATCCACAGCAATAGGCTTGGGTTTTGAGTATGTGTTCCATGGAACAATGAGTATTGAAAGAAAATATGACCAATTTCCTTAAGAGAGTGCATTCAAGAGGGAAGGAACACAAAATAGGTCACTGAAAATAGAGAGATCCCGTTGTGGGTCCAGATAAAGTGAACTTTTTGACAAGGAGGCAGAAATGTAGTTTAGGAATTTATTCTGATACAATGAATTGTTATTACTGCCATTGTTGTTAGGTGGCATCGAATCAACTCCTATTCATAGCTGGCCTGTGTACAACAAAATCGAAAATATGCACAATCTTACACCATCCTCACAATCTCCATTGTGCTTAAGTTGCATTGTTACAATCACTTTGTCAGTCCATCTCATCTCCTCTTTCACTCACCCTCTCTCCTTTCCAAGTATGATGCCCTTTGCTGAGGAAAGGCCTCTCCTAATAGCATGGTCAATGAACGGAAGACAATGACTCATCATCCTTGCCTCCAAGGAACACCTGACTTCTAGTCATCTAAGACAGATTTGATTGTTCTTTTAGCAGTCCAGGGGCTATTCAACACTCTTCACCAACACCACAGTTCAAAGGCATCAATTCTTTTTTTATCTTCTTTATTAATTGTCTAACTTTTGCAAGTCTTTGAAGCAATTGAAAAGGAGTTAGCCATAAAACAGATGGAAAGGAAGAGAATGTTCCAGGGAGAGGTGGGGAGAGAGTAGGATTAACAGCATGAAGATAATGTAGCACGGTCCAGCCTGCTGAAAAATTACAAGTCAGTCACTTACTGTGGCCAGGGTACCTATTGTAATACAGGGAGTAATGAAAGCCAAAAGTGAAAGATTAATCAAGGCTAGAGATGAAGGGGCTTGCTTATTAATCTAAAAGTTTCGAGATTATTCCGTAATTCTGGATGAGTGGAGGGCAGGGGAAGGTATGCTTCTTTTTAAAGATAAGTATGGGAAGCCAAACTTTATACCAAATATTATATGAAAACCCTTGTTCAGGAATTGAAGGAATTACAGATTTATAACTTAGGATTTCTCTTGTGGCAGATCCTAGAAAATGAGCTGTTTGTTCCCTGCAAGACAGGAGACAGCAAGGGGCCCCCTACAGAGGGAGTGTTACTTCCTGAGCTAGAGTTCACCCTGAGGCATCAAGGTTAATAGTTAAGGCTAAAGCAAATTCTTGCATTTGTGAACCCCTCCTTCCTGAGTCAAGCAGAAGGTTTTCAATAGAAAGAGCTTTTCTAAAATTCATTTGCATTGAATTCTCTTTGTGATTTACTTCCTGATAATTTTCAATAAAGACACAGAGAAGCTTGGCTTGGGGTCTTCAGTCGAGCACTGCTGACCCCCTGTTTTATGCTCTCTGCTCTATCTCATTCCTGGCTGTTTGTCTCGTTATTAATAATTATAAAATTATTTCATTCTTTGGGACCCTCGGTCTGCAACAGATACGCTTTTTTTTTAAGGCTCAAAGTAAAATCTAAAACAACCCATAATGACAGAGCACACTTGGGCAGACATTTAACATCTCTAATCCCCCTTTTCTTTGAGATGTTGCTAAGAAGCATTTCAAAGCCCTGGAAAGCAAATGAGAGGATATATTTAATATGTTTTTAATTAATTTATTAACATAAATGCTGTTGTTGTTGTTATGTGTCATCAACAAGTTGTTTGCAACTCATAGCGACCCTATGTGCAAGAGCTCTAAAGGCCTTTCTATCCTGTGCCAACCTAGCCATCTCAAACACACTCATTCCCACCACTCCACTCACAGAATCCATCCCTCTCGTCGGGGTTTTCCTCTCCTTCGCTGCCCCTCCACTCTGCCAAACATGATGTTCCTCTCCAAGGACCAGTCCATCCTTGCAACATGCCCAAAGTATGTCAGATGAAGCTTCAGAATCCTTGACTCCAGGGAACATTCTGGCTTCACCCTCTCCACGACAAACCTGTTTGTTCTCCTAGCAGTCCATGGTATATTCAACACTCTTCTCCAGCACCACAGCTCAAAGGCATCAATTCTCTTTCTATCAACCCCATTCACTGTCAACATAAATATTATAATCCAGTAAAAATGAAAACTGTCATGCTATGCTTATTTTGAGGAAAGAAATTGTAAGACTGAGGACAAGTAAATGGTGTTCCTTGGATGCATCACTGAATACAGAGCTCCCCTTGAAGAACCCAAGGTCAAGGCCAGAGGAGCAGGACAGTCTGTAATGGGATATAGTGTTTACTTTACATCCCTGAGGCTCCTCACAGACACACAGAGGCACATGACAGAGATCCTAGCGCACACCCAGCCAACATCATGACTGCATAAGGATAAATCCCAAGAAAAGCTAGAAGTCAGCACCCAGTATCTTATGTCTACTATCAAGTATGGTCTCTGTGCATCTCAGTGATGCCTCCCCTAATCAAAAAATGCATAGCAACACTGCCAGACACTATTCACTCCATACTACTGAACTCCTGAAGAGAGGTGAGTTACTTACCTGCACTGCAGCCTCTGACGGACACTGAGAGGAACAGCAGGATGTCCTCTAATTTCCTCTAATGTCCTCGCCATTGTCCTCTAAGTGGAAACAAAATGCACAAGGTCACTGGCTAGATTATCATTTCTCTTCTTCTCACATTTAGTTCATAATTATTCTTTTTTCCTCCCCTGAATCAGGATACCTCAAATGGAAAGTAATGGGATTCTGGACATTCTACAACCTCCCAGGGGAGCCTTGACCCCGTCTGGCTCTACAAACATACAGTGAGTCCTAGGCCTGAAACTCCTAATCCCTGACACTAAGACCAAACCTGACAGGCATCAGAGATCTAGACAAACCTTGTCAGACTCAAAACCTCTTCCTCACCAGGACTGAAAGTATCTTCTTTCTTCACAGATGCCAAAGCTGATAATTCCCCGCTTCCTCTGCAGAAGATTTTAACTTTATAAACACTGAGCCTTTTATGAGAATAGCCAAACTGTGCAAACCCAGCCCAGCCTCATTTTATGAACCCATGACCAGCCCAGACAGCTGGTGCTCCCACTGTCTCCTTTCCCTTTAGGGATCTAAGAATGTCAACAAGTGCATCATTGGCTAAAGGAGCAGTGAACTGTGGTCTTGGTCACACAGATGACATGAGCGCTTGAAGGAAAGGGAATCCTGCTTCCTCAAAGTGTGTTACTGCTTAAGTATCATAAACTGTCACGTACAGTGTTATATCACATAATCAGACTCTCTCAGGTTAAGTCATACATATAGTGCTTTCCTGCATTCCAGACTCTCCTATCCATTATAAGATGCTCTGAGAGCCCAGCAAACCATCTTTAATGACTTAATATCAAAACATCAACTTTTGCGTGTGTCTCACTATAATTTAATTACTTTATTAAATTTTTAGTTAGAAGGAATAGAAAACTTACAAAACATTGCAAAAATATAAAAACAGTACCCAGCCTCTGAAACCTGAGAACAGAAGACCTAGATGGTGCCTAGCTATCAACTCCAACTGTTCAAACCTGAATCACAGTTGAAGCCATCTGATAATGGAAGAAGAAGAAAAAAGAACAAAAGTTAAATTCATCAAGAAGATTAGACTTATTGATGCAGTAGAGACTGGTGGATTCTTCGATCTATGATGCTGACTGAGACACTGAACCAAAGACACTAAAGAGGCTCTCAAAAATCAAGTTTAAATCACAAAAAACACAAACATATAAAGTGAACAATAACACTTTGAAGAAATAGGCTTCACATGCTCCTCAAAGCAGCTATGGATGACCAAAGGCCAGCATTTGCCCAAAAACAAAGTTAAAAAGAAGCAGGAAAGAGTAAGAAAACTAGGTGAACAAATTATGGGGAATGCACAGTAAAGTGGAGAAAATGCCTACATATTGTAGAGACTGTACTAGTGTCTCAAAACGATCTGTGCCCATCAACAAATGAATGGATAGAGAAGCTGTGGTACATCCACACAATGGAATACTACTCTGCATTGAAAAACAAGGGACTCATGAAATATTATTCAAAATGGGTGACCCCGGAGGACATTATGGTGAGTGAAGTATCTCAGTCACATAAGGACAAATACTGCATGGTGTTACTGTTGTAGAATGAGGCTGACATCAGGGTGTGGGGAAGTCTGAGAAAAACTGGATAAATTATGTATACTGCATTGAAGCCAGTAAGGGAGAAAACAGTTTAAAAGTAATATATTTTATCATAAGAGTTTGGAATGAGGGTTGCAGAGTGGAGTATTCTCGGGGTGAGGGTGGGAGGGTGCAGGGGGATTGTATACAAATGAAGGAGTTTTGCTTTTAAAGAATAGCAAACTGGGGTTGGGGGTGGGGTGGGCAGGGAGAAAAGTGCAACAATGAATGGATGGAAATCCACAATCTCTGTAAATGTTCATTGAAATTAATAATAATAATGATAAAAACCCAATCTGTGTGTAACTTGCTGAATGGAAAACTAAATTGTTCAGAAACTTTCACCTAAACCAAAAGAAGATGCTAAAAATAATTAAAAATACATTACTACCAAAAAAATGTGTACTCTCCATCCAGATTCAACTTTGTTCATATTTTTATCCCATCTACTTCTTTATATAGTGTCTTTATAGAATAGATATATGTAAGCATACACATTTTTTTTCTGGGCCATATGAGGGTAAATAATATACACCATCAGTTTGAAGACTAAGGCACATCTGATTCAGGCCATGGTCTTTTCAGTCACTTGCTGTGTGTCTGAGAGCTGGACAGTGAATAAGTATGACAGAAAAAGAACTGATTCCTTTGAATTGTGATTTTCAAGAACAATACTGAATATCTCAGGACTTCCAAAAGAACAAACAGATATATCTTCTAAAAAGTATAACCAGAAAATCAAATCTTATTAGCCCATCTTTTCAGATCCCCATTGGATCTCTCCTAATTCCTTCACTCCCTCTCCCCACCCACCGAACTCTGTGACCTTGTGATTTTCCCCCCACCTGCACCAACCCTTAGTCTCCCTACTCCCTTCCTTCTTTGAATATACATCTTAATAGTTACCCTTCTATTTTTACAACAGTGCTCTGTGTGGTATTTGTCCTTATGGGACAGAATGCAGCATAATACTCTCTAACCTCTGTCATGTTATATAGGATTTAAAAAAAAAAAAAAAAACCACATTGCTCCCGAGTGCTGCATAGTATTATCCATCTTGTAAATGTACCATAATTTCTCAACCCATTCATATGATGGACATGTGGGCTGTTTCCATGTTCTAGTTATTGTGAATAATGCTGCTATTGTTGTGCCCAACAAATCAAAAGACGCACACCACCAGATTATAAGTGAGGTCATTTATTCGCTGCACAGCAGGAGGTCCCAGCAACATGGCAGGATTCCCCAATCTCTTAGCATCCACTGGGTGTTTTTATATCTTTATTCTCCTCTAGATATTGGATTATGTGGGCTCAGGCTACAATATGTTGCTGTTGACATATTACTAAAGGTACAGTGATATACGTAGTCACGGGTACACAGTGCAAAATGTCTACATCTTGGGTTTATCAAGGGTACAGTGCAAAATGTTGACATCTTGGGTTTATCAAGGGTACAGTGCAAAACATTTACATAAACAATAGTAGTTACCATTTTGGAAAATGGGTCAAGACAAAACTTTAGGGCTGGGGCAGAAATTTTCCTCACACAGGGTTTGGTTATTCAAATGCCGCGAGTGCTCCATAAAATGGAGGCTATTTGGCTTCTCACTACGAATATTGGTGTACAAATTTCCATTTCTCAGTTATTAACTAGTGTCTCAATTCTATTTTCCTTGAGATCTGTTCCCATCAGTGGAATATCTGTGTCATATGGAATTTCTATGTTCAGCTTCTTGAGGAAATGTCAAAGAGCTTTTTAGAGTGGTTGTACCATTTTACAATCCCACCAACAGTGTATGAGGGTCCCAATCTCTCCACATTCTCCAACATTTATTGCTTATCGCCCTGCTAGATTTTGCCAAGAGAACAAACAGATATGTCTTGGAGAGGGTGCAGACAGAGTGTTCTCTGGAGGCAAGAATGATGAGACTTCATCTCACACACTTTGGACATGTTGCCAGGAGGTGCTATTCCTTGGAGAAGGACATGATGCTCGGAAGGGTGGAGCATTGGCAAAGGAGAGGAAGACCCTCAGCTAGATAGATTGACACAGTGACTGCGCAACGGGCCCTTCGGTGTGTCAGGAAGTGTGAGGATGACACGGGATAGAACAGGGTCCAGATCTTTTGTTCACAGGGTTGCTTTTGTTCATAGAGTTATACTTGACTTGACAGCACCTAATAACAGCAGCAACAATGAGTGTGAGATGGTATCACATGGTGCTTTTAATTTGCATTTCTCTTATTGACCTGGTCTGGTTGTGACTGCTGATATTGATTCTTTCCACAGATGTAGTCAGTCTGATTCCTGTGCAGTCCATCAGGTAAAGTCCATGTGTATAGACACAACCTATGATTCTTACAAAAAGATGTTTGCTGTGAATAAATGGTTGAATGTGCGAAAATTCAGTCATTCACTCTCTAGCCTCATTTCTCTCCCAAAGTCCTTGATTTCCAACTACAAATTCTAATGGATACAGAAATGGATCATTCCTTTCCTGGTGGTTCAAGCGTCATGTTTGCACAGCCTACGTCTTTCGAGAGTCTTTTTTTTATTCCATGCTCTTGATCTGCATTATTAGCAGACTGATCCATGTTCATGGTGGCTTATAAAAAGATTAGGTTTATGAGGGCACTGTAATGTAGAGAGAAAGCTTTTCTTTTTTTTTTTGGTATTCATCATAGAAGGAGGGAGGTGTTTCTCTAACAACATGGATGACTTTCTTACTTTGGATCGCAACAGGATGGGGCATTGAACAAAGAGGTCTGAGAGTGAGATGATGTCATACCCTGAACCCTGAAGATTGTGTCCTATTCTCAGAAAGGATACCTAGAATCAAAGTTATCTGGGAGGACAATGTGTAGATCAGTGATCACCATGGGCTTCAGCAGTTGACAGTGCTTGAAGGAACTGCAGTGGTTGAGTGTACACTGACTTGTTTGTAAACACACAGGAAGCACATTCTTGGGATTGTCACCCAACAATGGAAGAAATGAAAACAAGAGATATTTTAGTACTATTAATGCCAAATGAGTATATCTACTGGCATACCCTTGGTAAGTTGCATCAGTTACATTAAGAAAAAGCTAATGTCTTTAATTTATTAATTGTACTCAATTCTCCAAAGC